ATTTATGAAATTTTTGCCTAATTTAATGAAATAACCTCCAAATGATTTTCCATCTTCAGTGGTACACCAACTTGCATCTGATGTAGCATTTAATTTCCCATTGTCTGAAGTATACACTAAACAAGTATTTTGTGTTCCTTTAATATATCTAAATATCCTCTTTACAGCTTTCCAGTGTTTCTCTCTGGGATCTTGATTATATCTTGACAAATTACTTACTGCAAAAGCTAAGTCTGGCCTTGTGCCTGTTGCTAAGTACATCAATGAACCTAATGCTTCTTGATATTTTGTCTTCGACACAGGTGGTGAAGATGCTATGTCATCAAGATTTTCACCCAATATTCCTGGAGTCTTGATAGGTTTACATTCATCCATTTCAAAGTTTTTTAAGATTTTAGTTATATAGTTTTCTTGACTGAGTATAAGTTTTCCAGATTCTTGCCGGATGTCTATTCCTAAAAATTTTTGTGTGTTTGAGTGACTTCTCGTAATGTGAACGATTTAGATAGTTGAGAGATGATGTCATTTATCTCAGAATTTGAATTTCCAATCACCATTAAGTCATCCACATATACTGCTATGATAAAATATTTGATCTTATCTTTATAAATATAAACACACGGATCTGACTTTAGTCTAGTTAAATTCTTTTCTTTAAGAACTTTACATAATTCATCATACCAGCATTTTCCTGATTGTGGTAATCCATATATACTTTTGTTTACAAGATATACTTTGTTCGGATCTGATATAAAGCCAGGTGGTTGTTCCATGTAAATTGGTTTATCCAAGTATCCATTTAAATATGCAGTTTTTACATCGAAAAATCTTATTTTGTAGTTTTTGTAAACTGCAATCGATAGTAATGTTCTAAAGGTTGCAAGTCTCATTACTGGGCTAAATCCATCTTCATAATCAATTCCTTTTCTTTGATTAAATCCGGTTCGCTACTAGTCTTGCTTTGTAAATTGTTTCTAAATTACCCTTTTCATCCCTTTTTGAGAATATCCAGCTCTTTTTAATAACTTTCTTATCGATGGGTCTTTCAACTAATTCCCAGACTTCATTAGCCTCCATTGAACTCAATTCTTCTGTCATTGCTTGTAGCCAGAATTCACTTTCAGCAGATTCTATAGCTTCATCATACGTCTTAGGTAATCCTTCATTTGTATTGTATACTACATAATCTTTTAATTTTTCTGGGGGCTTCGTAATTCGCGCTGGTCTTTTCTGTACAGAATTTCCATGATTATCATTTCCAGGTTCTTCATTTATTTGCGGATACTCGGTTGGCTTTTCCAATGAATTGTTATCATCGTGTTCATCATCACTATTGGATGGCAAAATTTTCTCAGCTTCTTCATCTGTTGTATTATCTTCTCTATAGTATCTGTTAGTTATTTCTGAATTATTTACATATCCATTAGTTTGTTCCTTATAAAAATAATAAGTTCTTCTAATATTTGATTTTTATCGAATGTTAAATAATTTTCTTCTAGTAAAGGTGATCCAAGTTTTTGTTTATCAAATTTTACATCTCTCACTTCTTGAATTTTATTTTGTTCAGGGATATAAATTTTGTATGCTTTTCTCTTCATGCTATAGCGTATCATAATTCCTTTTTTAGATTTTAGATCCATCTTTCTACGTTTTTCTCGTCTTATATGAACATATGCTTCACATCCAAATCTTTTAAGATAAGTAATGTTAGGCTTGCGTCCTTTATATAGTTCATATGGTGTAAACCTTTTATCATTTTTGTGACTCCTGTTATTCACATGTACAGCTACTTTAACGCTTTCAGACCAAAATTTTATCGGTAATTCTGCATCAATTAACATAGTTCTAGCAGATTCAATTATAGTGCGATTAAAACGTTCAGCTTTTCCATTACTTTCCGGAGTATAAGGGGTTGTAAGTTCATGTTTAATTCCCATTTTTTCAAAAAATTCTTTTATATTTTTAGCTAAAAACTCACTACCATTATCACTACGAATTCTTTTTAGTTTCTTTCCTGTTTGTCTTTCTTCTTGAATGATAAGTTTGATTAGAGCTTCTGAAGTTTCACTTCTTCTCAATTGTTATCACAAATATGAAATTACTGTAATCATCTACCACTGTTAAAAATAACAACTTCCATCTATTGATTTCTCAATTGGTCCAACTAAATCTATGTGCCATAATTCTAAAATATCTTCAGATTGCTTAAATTTCACACTTTTATAAAGATGTTCGTGTTATTTTTACCTAATGTACAAGGTTCACAATTGTTTTCAGAAATTTTTACATTTTCTAATCCAATGACCGATGAGTGTTTTTTCATTTCTATCAGCTTTTGATAATTTATATGACCTAGTCTCTGATGCCATAGTACATCATTAACATAACTAATTTTAGCTTCTTCAACAATATTTCCTTCAACTTCAAATTTATTTCCATTTCTGTTAGCTTTATATAGAATGTTTCCCTGTTTATTGATCACTTCTGCTTTATTTTTGGTAAAAATTTATTTTAAATCATGATCTACAATTTTTGATACTGACAGCAGATTTTCACTTAAATTCGGTACTTGCAGAACATTTTCTACTCTCAAGATGTTCTTATTTCTATCAGTTTGCATTTTAATGTTACCAATACCAACTGATTTGATCATGGCCCCTTTTTCAGCCGTCATTATTTGTCGTTCTTCATCTTTAAAATTAGTAAATATTTCTTTATTAGTTGCCATGTGAGATGTGGCTCCTGAATCAATAATCCATTTAATTTTTCTATTCTCTTGTTTATTTATTTTATTCTTTCCATCATTTCTATCTTGATTAAGATATGAGCTTTCTATTTTCTTAGATACTTCAAATAAGCATGTAGCTGATTCATATTCTCTTTCCTTGCTTGACATTCTATAAGTTTTATTTGTTACATTTCTCTGCTGTCGGCGTTCTTGTTTAGTTTTCATTTTACATTCAGTTGATTTGTGGCCGAATTTTTCACAGCCAAAGCACTTTATACTATTATTATTATTTCGACATTTTTTTATTAAATGTCCTAATTTTCCACAATTAAAGCATCTTCTTTCATATTTCGATTTTATCCAGTTTTCTTTTGTCTATTAGAACTTACTTCTATTTCTTTTCCTCTTTGTTTATTTTCCCCTTCTGTTTCTTTTAAAGCTTGTCTAATTGAAGCTAGATCTTTCTCTTTATTGCTTTTAATAATTTTAACATCAAATTCAAATTCCTTTCTAAGTCCTTCTAGTATGAAGTAAATTAATTCTTTATCTCTTATTTCATCTCCAACTTGAATACTTTTACTTTTCAGAATAACAGCTCTATTCATATAATCATCTACTGATTCATTTTGACTCATTTTCAGTTGAGCTAATTCTATTCTGCATTTGATTTGAATATCTTCTGTTCTTGCCGCCATTTCATTTTTGGTTTTCTCCCATAACTTCTTTGCGTTCTTTTCATTCGCATATTTTAACGCTTGTGGAGCTGTCATAGTTTGATTCATTATATTTCTTGCTATTGCGTTATTATCATCCCATATTTCCCAAGTTTTAATTTCATTTTCGAAATTAACATCATCCTTTTTATATGGTTTTGGTGGTTCATCAGCTTCTAACACACTTCTCCATATCTTTAAACTTCTTAATTCACTTTTCAACTCTGTTGGCCTCATATAAGATAATTATCATCACTTAATTTTTCTATATGACTCAAATTTATCATTATTATATGCCATATTTTCTAATTTATATTCACTAATTATAATACAAGTCTAATTTATCTCTTAGAGAAATTGGCTCATTTTGTTAAGCCTAAACAACATCAATGTTCTATCTGAAAGTTTATTAACAGATGGGGCAACCATGCTCTGCTACCAAATGTTGGTTTTTAAGATTGGCATATAATATGAACATTCTCTAAAGAATTCATCCACTTCTAACAAAAATACATTATGGCAATATACAAAAAAAAAAAAAAAACTTTATTAAAGAAAATCAGACATAAAAAATCTTACCACGTTCTACCAAACCATAATAATGATACAATACCATAATTATAATACAAGTCTAATTTATCTCTTAGAGAAATTGGCTATTTTGTTAAGCCTAAACAACATCAATGTTCTATCTGAAAGTTTATTAACAGAGGGGGCAACCACGCTCTGCTACCAAATGTTGGTTATTTAAGATTGGCATATATATAACATTCTCAAAAGAATCATCCACTTCTAACAAAAATACATTATGGCAATATACAAAAAGAAAACTTTATTAAAGAAAATCAGACATAAAAAATCTTACCACATTCTACCAAACCATAATAATGAAAAAAACTCTCTCTTCCAGATACATTTTTAACTCATTCTTTTTACAATTTAATATCAATGTTGCCAAAATATTAAAACTTAAAATTATGCTTTATAAACAAATACTATCAATGTACGCTTAAAATGTTGAATGGTACGATGCAGTAAGTACGTTTGTTATGTTATGTACGTTTACGAATACTGTTGGAGACGGCTGCTGCAGACAGACGATTACGTAACGGCTCGGCGAAGGTCGGCAAAAGGAGTTTGATTGGACTATTTTTTATTATTTTTATTTTTTTCTTTAACTGCGAACTGAGCGGGAAAATTGCCTTTTCACTCAGTTGTATGTAAGCACTTGATAGAGTAATGTAACGTTTTCAGCTTGTGTGAGATATCCATATTAAATCTTTGTATTAATAATCCCTGCTGTGATTATTTAATTTGTAACCTGCACGTTGTATCCCTGAGAGTTGCAACAAATACGTTACGTGTAGGTCATTAAGATTTATCTTTAAATAAATGTTTGTTTGTCTTTTACAATCATTTTATGAGTGATTAATTTAACTACAAAAGGAAGTTAACACGTGGGTGCGATTAGCTACTGCACCTTTCCTTCGCACCTAATCTTGATTTTTCGCCCATCGGAGCGGAAAGACTTGGTGCATGCAAAACAAGACACCTGTCTATTTTGTTGTTGTGTGTCTATTTGATTGTCGTTGAAGGGTGTGTTTGTTTCGGTGTTTAATGCACAATGGACGATTGTCTGAATCTGGAATTTTTTTATCAGTTGGAGCGAAAAGGTAAAAAAAGCGTGATTGAGTGGTGTATGGAGAAACGTTTGATTACAAGATCGTATAAATGTCCAATTTGTAAAACTGATATGAAATTAGTAGAGCGAAAGAATTGTCTAGATGGTTTTGAGTGGATGTGTAGAGTAACGCGAGGTGAATGTAAGCATCGAATTTCAAGGTCTGTTCGAAAGGATTCGTGGTTTACGAAGAGTAAATTGAGCATGTGTGATATTTTGAGAGTTACATATATGTGGCTTGGCAAATGCCGAAATGATTTTATCCGTTCTGAGTTAGGAGTGGCTAAAAACACTGTGACTTGCTGGAAGAGTTTTTGTAGGGAAGTATGCATAGAGTTATGTTTGAAAGAAAATATAATGCGGGATGAGGAGGATGCTCCGCAGGCAACAGAACAATTAGACTCGTATCTGGCCGAGCATATGTGGAGAAGACAGAAGAAGGAATCAAACACTTGCAAGTTAATGCAAATATTTCTAAATAATATCTCGACAGTGTATTCTGTAAAAGGTGAGGACTAAAGGTAAGTTTCATTATTATTACTAGTTAAAGTGAAATATTGGGTGCAGACACCATTTGGCAGTTTATTTATTAAACAATGATTTTATTTAAGAAACTTTATTTTCATTGTTAGATAATAATATTATTCTCGCAGTTTTATTTTTTTAATAACTCATATCAATGGGATTGTGGGCTGTTTCTCCCTCAGTCACGTGCTTTCCCTTTCTGATTTCTATATGTTATTTGTAAATTGTGAAAACAGAATCTCTCTTTTGTTTTCATTGCGTTAGGAGTATAGGCTTTAGTTTTAACGGTAAAAGTATAGTTTAGGGTACCTCTTGGCGAAACTTGGCAATTTTTGATGGTACATGGATACTGATTTTGTGCAATTCTTTGACTCGTTATTTTGACTTGCGAAGAGGCGATTTTTGCGCCAAAAATCGCCACTGCACAAAGCCAAAATAGCAAGACAAACTCAGTATCTATGTACACATCGACTTATTTTCACTTAAAAAAATGCCTGAATTGCACAAAAGTGGCATTGCACACTCCTTTGACTTTATCCATGTACACGTCGACCTATTTTCACTTAAAAAAAATCCCAGAATTGCACAAACTTGCATTGTGCACTCCTTTTTCTTTGCCCATGTATACATCGATATATTTTCACTTAAAAAGTAAAAGGAGCACAAAATTCTACAATATAGGCAAACAAAAAAATACATAATCTCATGAAAATACATTAAAAAACAATAAAATAACATAAAAAAGAAAAAAACATGCTATACATTTAAGCACTACAAAAGAAATATGCACTTACCATGATTTTCGAGTTCGCTTCGTACACCAGAGCCACAAAAAAATCAAATATCAATCATACAAATGACTTTTCAAACAGATACTTTTATCGAACGTTCACATAATGAACATTCGAACCTTTTTCACCAACCCCATTCAAATCCATCTAAACGGTTTTAAACACACACCAAAAATGCTACAAATTTCCCGAACCGTGCACCGATTACGTCACAATAGGGTTTCCATAAAATTCACTACTCAGGCTACATAAATGAAAAAAAATTGGAGAGAATCAAACAACAATTTCGCCATAATACAAGGGGTACCTTAAAAATCTCTCCCGTTTTAACTGCTCTTGGGCAAAAGTGATCGTGGCTGGTGTGCAATGCCTTTGTTGTATGTGATGCAAAGTTAGTGCAAATTCACCGATTTATTTATTTATTTTATTTATTTTTTTTTTTTTAGTAAAAGCAGATCATTGTGTATATGAAGAAAATAACAGCACAGAAAAAATTGCAGAAAGTTATCTGGAAAAAGGTAAGTGCTCTATATATTTAATATATTATATATTCCTTTTTTAATAATTACAAATTTCTATTTTAAATTGCTAAAGTGGGTTTCCTTATGATATATTAATGTTTGCCAGCTTACTAAAAATATATCCATAGTTTGGTTTGCTTTATGTGATTATTGCAAAGCCCTGAGGCTATATGAATAAGAGGAAGGGTATCTTTGTGGTGGACTTTCTAAAGGATTAGGATTATTCAATTATGGCAAAGCACATGACGGCTATCTGCCTAAAGGGAGGGATGGGGGGAAACAATGCGGCGTGCAATGAATTGGAAGTTGATCTGTCAACACTTCATCTTCAGTCATCTTCAGTCATGTCAACATTATCTTCAGGGCAGATGTTTTTATTTTATTTGGCTTATAATTCCTTACTAAATGTAGTATTTCATCTCGATGTACTCTGTCTTTGATACGATTTAATTCAAATTCCTTGTCATTATAATTCGCTTCCGATAGTGAAGAAAGTGACACAGAGGTTATTGAAAATGAAAAAATGGTTGATCTTTGGATTATGGTAACTTGGTGATTTCTTGGCGAAAATTTGGCGACCAACTCTGCTACAGCAACCCTCTATTTTATTTTTTCACCGCCATTTTGTCTTCACGAAGTAAAGACATGTTTCTTTTCTTTTTATTTACTCAACACTTTTTCCAACAATCTGTTAGCCGAATTACACTTATGCTAGAAATTTTATGGAACAAAACTGCTTAATCATGACAAATATTCACTGCAAAATTGGGAAAAAGTGCACAATACAACTCCTTACGCGTTTTTCAAATCGCACATACACAGTAAACCATGTACACGTCGACTTATTTTTACTTAAAAAAAACATCCAGAATTGCACAAAAAATGGCATTGCGCACACTCTTCACTATATCCATGTACACTGCTTTTTCTCATAATTAGAAAAATTTCACGAAATACATGAAAATTTTCTGAATCTTTAAAATTGGTAAAAAGCACATATGAAATTACCTGATCGCGAAAAAGTATATACCCTTCCAAGGATGAACATTTCCACATATAAAATAAATAAAATATCCAAAAACTTTTACCTCTAAATTATCTATTATAACGTCACCAAAGAATCCTAAACAAACAAAAATGGTTACAAATACTTAGTGTCAAATATTCAAATTATTTCCATGCACGTTTACTTCACTCAAACGTTACAAATTCATACAACATATAATTCACAAATAACTATCATTTAATTAAAATATAATTAAACCATGTACACGTCGACTTATTTTTTACTTAAAAAAACATCCCAGAATTGCACCAAAATGGCATTGCGCACACTCTTCACTATATCCATGGTACATGCTTTTTCTCATAATTAGAAAAATTTCACGAAAATGCATGAAAATTTGTGAATCTTTAAATTTGGTAAAAGGACATATATGAAATACCTGATCGCGAAAAAGTATATACCTTTTCCAAGGATGGACATTTGCACATATAAAATAAATAAAATATCCAAAAACTTTTACCTCTAAATTATCTATTATAAACGTCACCAACGAATTATAATAAAACATTAAAAATGATTACAAATACTTAGTCAAATATTTAAATTATTTCCATGCACGTTTACTTCCACTGAAACGTATACCCAATTGCTACAAACATAAATTCACAAAATAACTATCATTTAATTAAAATATAATAAACCATGACATGTTGACTTATTTTACTTAAAAAACATCCCAGAATTACAAAAATGGCATGCGCACACTCTTCACTATATCCATATACACTGCTTTTTCCTGATAAATTAAAATTTCATGAAAATGCATGAAAATTTTGTGAATCTTTTAAATTTGGTAAAAGGACTATATGAAATACCTGATCTCGAAAAAGTATATACCCTTTTCAAGGATGGACATTTGCACGTATAAAATAAATAAAATATCCAAAAACTGTACCTCTAAATATGTATTAAAACGTCACCAACGAATTTATAACAAACATAAAAATATTAAATACTTAGTGTCAATGCTTAAATTCTTTTATGACATTTACTTCTACTCAAAATATTCCATATACTACAAACATATAACTCTCAAAATCATGATCATTAAATTAAAATATAATTAAATTAAAAACTACTTTAAATATAAATACGCACATACATTAAATTATAAAAATTAGCTTACAATCCTAATTACTTTAAACTAAATCATTGCTAATAACATTTTCCAATAATACCATATTAATTTATTACTCCTTACATTTAGAACAATGCATAAAATATATCCTCAAATAATAAAAATACTAATTTACCCTAATCTTCTACAGAATCTTCAGTGCATGGTGGATCACAAAATGTCAATTTCACCAGGTTTCTTGCATGCCATTCAAACTTATCTGTAATATCCTTCCTTCACACATCTTATTTCATTCCCACAATTGGACATTCATACTTATCCGCAATTAAGCAATTCTTTCAATTACACTAAACGCATAAAATTTCGGATTTACTTTATAGGGCCATGATCCAAATATTAAACAACACTGTTTCACGAACATAGATGAAACTAACTGCTATAAAGTACAGCAGATATTTTTACAAATTTACCCCCTTTTCCGATTAAAGAACAGTGATTCGTCCATTAATGTCACATGACATATCTCATGATCTCTCATTTCCCTCACACGAAATAATGCGTAATCAGAACTGAGTACTTCTCACATTATTCCCAAAGTCCTAGGTAGTAACTTTTATCGCCTCCAAAATGTCGCCAAACAACCTGTTACCATATTCCAAAGATTAGCCGAAATATTTTCGATGGACAAATTAGTTGGTATTCTCGACACAGCAATTTATAGGACTTGAACAGCAGAACTTTGTAACTGAACAAGAAATTATGTCTGTTTATAGAATTAAAGAGAAAATATTATCACATAAAACGAAGCAACTTATACAACTTACATTGAAAGAAATGTTTAATAAAGTAAACAAATAAATATTAAGCTTTTTTTTTTTTTTTTTTTTTTGTAAATTTTGATACTCTTTATATCATAATTGTTCTTTATTTCATAAATTACGGTTTCATATTTTTAATTTTATAATTTCTGCATGCCATCTTACCAGATTTAAAAGTGATGATCTATAATCCGGAATCGCCGAAGTCCTGACGAGTCCAGATTAAAGACTTTTGACTGTACTACCTGTTTACTCTTTAAAAGAGGCACTTCATATAATTAAAACTTTTTTTTTTGCTGCAGAAAAGTACAATAAGCTAAAAAAAAAAATTTAAAAAAATGCAATTTTTAGTAAGAACCTTAAATATCTAAGCTAAAGGAAGATTTTTTTTCCACATAAAGAAAACAATTTTTAAAATTAAATATATAAAAATATACGGAAAATAATTTGATCACTATTTTTGTTACAGTGCATCAAGAAACTAATGAAATGAAATTCAAGGATATTTCAGATAGGCAATACAGTACAAAGTCTGAGATCCACACTCGTAGGGAGTTAGCTGATTTGGGATTTTTCCAGAGATTAGATCATCAGTTTAAAACTTGTGAGATGGCATGTAGAAATTATAAAGTTAAAATAAAGTATCTGGAGACACATCCTCCCACAAACTTGCGATGCTTCACACAGCAGATTTTATGCTAAACTATTTTTTAAATTGTTGACTAGTCTTGTCATTATTCAAGAAATTTAACATGAATTTAAAAAATATTACTTTATATTTGCATTTTGGTATGCACACTATTCCGATATCCATAGGCTGAATGATGAATGTACAGTTTCGAAGAAAAAATAATATGGATACATTATCTTTAACTAAAACTTTTAAGTGAAATATGAGCCGAACAGTCGTTCTTCACTCCTTGAGTGACCTTCCAGGAGATCACTCTCCCAACGTACTGGGCCCGTTCCGCCCAGGTACACCTCCTCGCCGGCTAAGAGCACACTTTGAGGCGACGTGCAGAACTTCAGGGGGATATTTCAGTAAGTGTGGTAAACAATATCAGCACAGGAAAAGAAAACATACTTTAGCAATTTAAAATACAAATTTGAATTGTTAAATACGAATTTTGTCATACATTAAATAAAAAATACACATTCTTCTTTGAATCTCTGTAGTTTTTTGTGTGTATGTTATTCTTCTCTCGAAGTGCACAGTGATCTATTTTCACTTAAAAAAAAAAACAGAGAATTGCGAAGACTTGTGTTCATGCAATCTCTGGCAACAGTGGCTATCTAGAAAATGGACTCCCTCAATATTCCCCGTAGAAAATTTTCAGCAGAATTCGGTATGATTGTCAAAATTTGACTGTAGTTTCTTCCATTGCTGGCAAATTCCACAAGCTCATATTTTAAAATTAGGCAAAAATTATCGCGGTTCGTGTATGAAAACCATTGGAACTTGGAATACAACAAAATAGAGCACATACGAAAATGGTGGCATTGCTTGACTGAAACGACTGTTATGAGCATGGTTGCTGGAAGACTGGTTAGGTAAAAGTATTGTTTAGGGTACCCCTTGGCGAAACTTGGTGATTTTTTGTGGTACATGAATGCTGATTTTGTGCAATTCTTTGATTCATTATTTTGACTTGCGAAGCGGCGATTTTTGTACTAAAAATCGCCGCTACACAAAGCCAAAATAACAAGACAAACAATTGCACAAACTCGGTATCCATGTACACATCGACTTATTTTCACTTAACGCCCACCCCCAAATTGAACAAAAATGGCATTGCGCACTCTTTTAACTTTATCCATGCACACGTCGACCTATTTTCACTTTAGAAAAAATCCCAGAATTGCACAAACTTGCATTGCGCATTCCCTTTACTTTGTCCATGTACACATCGATATATTTTCACTTAAAAAGTCAAAGGAGCACCAAATTCTACGATATAGGCAAACAAAAAATACATAATCTCAATAAAATACATTTTAAACCAAACAATAAAATAACATAAAAAAGGAAAAACAT